CAATCCACAAAATAAAATCATCAACAAAACGTAAAAGAAATACAAACGAAGCAGATTTAGTCGAGAAAGAAAGGCGTCTTACTCTCAAGGAACAAGAACTGGTCATTAAAGAGCGAGAAGCAAACGAAACAGCTTTAGTCGAAAAAAAAAGGCATCTTAATCTCAAGGAACGAGAATTGGCCATTAAAGAGAGAGAAGTGAAAATACGAGCCTTGGAATTACGAGAACTGGCTATTAAAGAGAAAGAAATTAAAATTCGAGTATCGGAAGTATTAAACATCAAGAAAGAGAAGGAGTTGGGCTTGTAATTTTTTTTTATTAAGACACGTGCATTAAAATCGTCTGAATTATTCTGCAAAAAAAAAATAATTAAAAGAATACATATATTGTAATAATTATGTTGATATTAAAATACAATTTTTGAATTTTAAAACGTATATATAATAATATCATATATTATATTATCTATAAATGATAAAAAATAAAAAACCGTTAATCAAAATTGTGCTGAAGTAGGTAGAGAATGTAATTATTTAAAAAAAAAGATTTGGATACAAAAAGGTCGACGGGAAAAAGAAAACCGGTTCTTTGTGTCTTAAATTAAATTTCTTTAAAGGAAACAATCAAATAAATAATTTTATACATAAAATTGTTATCGTACTTTTATCTTTTGATGGAATTGGCTATATACAAATTGTTATTATGTGAAATCGGATTATTCAAAAATATGTGCGATGCGTCTTTGGTGTATAATAATCTGGAACATAAAGCTTTCGTTCCATTGACTTAAAAATTTAAATGAAGTTAAATTTAATGAAACACGTTGAATATAAAAATAAATTTTTAAGTACAGATAAATGGAGTATCGGAAAGTCAAAAGATTTTCCATACGGGGATTTTCATTAAAGAACTAAATTCGTAAAACAAGATCCTAAACAATTTAAACTTGACAAAGAAGCACATCGGATTTGCCCCCGCTTGATATTCATAACAAATAAACTTGTTGATATATAATGTTTCCGTTAATTGGCTTAACTATAACGAAAAATTAAGCGCGATCTCGCGAAGAAACTTCATCACTGAGCGATTTTCTCGGTCATTAAAAATCGTCATAATCTTTTTTCTTTATTTATCAAAGATAAAAAATATATACAACGCTCACATAATAGGGAAACTGCCGGAAAATAAAAAAGAGTTAAATAATCTTTGGCATATAAAGGTAATTATATTTTTTTCCGGCAGTTTCTCTCCTTTCTATCTTTTTATTACAAAAGTCCCATATATCGTATCGAATAATAGGTATCATACGTTATTGGTTATAAAGAATCTGGGCGGTTTTGTTCCATTCCATTTATAATAAAAAAAAAAAAAATAATATTTAGCAAATAATAGTTTAAAATTTATGTTTTATTTGATTGTACTAAAATCTGATTAAAGCAATGATTGAAATTGAAGTATAATAAAAAATTGAACGCAATTTTATTGCTAAAAAACTCGGTTAAACTTGTATATAGTGGCATAATTTTTTTGCGTATAATGAGATTTATGAAAATATCTGTAAATGTCGGGATTTCGAACTTCGGTCGGAAATTCGAAATCATGTGATCATCGGGTTCAAATATTTCGGTATTTTAGGCTTGTCGGGATTATAATTTGTCGGTTCCCGAAATGATTGTTTGATTTTCGTTGTTAAAGGTTTTACACTTTGCTTTGAAATTTATTTATTTTGAAGATAAGGTTTTATTTTTCGAAATTTTTTTTTTATAATCTTTTGCAATTGAGTTTCTCTTATCATTCAACATCATCATTGGCAATATTATCATAAAATTTTTGTGTCTCTCCATGATACTAACTTTAAAAGTCAAGGATAACTAATAATTTAAAATCATTCATCATGAAAGAATATCATCAAAATAATATTGATACTCCCAGTAAAAATTAATAATTGCCGATTATATGTTGTTAAACGTGTTCTTTGAGAATAGATTTTATTATATCTGAGAACGCATAAGGCGGGTGGTATAATTTCTATCTAACAAACGATACAAGATCTCAAGATATTTTGTTTAAGATAGGAAATTGATCAGGATTTCAATAGTCGGGGTCTCTCACATTTGGAATTATTTATTACTCGGAAGAACTTAAAATATCATTTGAACAAACATTTATTAAAAACATTTCTCCCACCCTTTGACGCGGACCGATAATTTATTCAATGGTTTTACTAACGGATGTTTCAAGTGCAGAACGTAATGCTCTAGAACATTGTTAGTCTCAATGCAATATCTTTTATTTATTAAGTAAGTTTCATAATTCGGGTTATTTAGTAAATAATCTTTATCAATCATTTTTTTTTTATGTTTCATTCTTATAATAATTAATTAAATAATTTATTCTTTATAATTGAAGCATCAACTTGACAGAGAAAATCAAATACCTATTCTTGAGAGAAAAAGAAAATTTCGATCCTTAGTATATTCCTTTGTCTAAAGAAGTGAAAAAAATGAAAACATATCCAAGCAAGAATGCATCAAAAAAAAAAATAAAATAAAATAAAATAAAATAAAAAATAAGCCAAATTAAAGATATAAATTATTATTTTATTAAATGTTTAGGTTACTTTTTTATTGCATGCATTCCGAATCTGACAGAATCAAATTGGCTTTAATATAATTAAGGTTTTTAGCAACTTAGCAATTTACTGATATAACATTTTAATACGATCTATATTTATTATCTCTTGATTATTTGAAATATTTCATAATCATCTATAAAAAATTTATCTTCGGTATCCCTTATCTTTTTTTCATAATAAGTCTTTTTGCAATATATTTGAGTGTAATCTGTTGATTCATATGATGAAATCATTAAAAGATCTGTATCTCCAAAACTTGGTCCACTGAGATGATGATAAAATAATGCATTACCTATATTCTTTACGTTACTCAAAATCGCACCCTTAAAAAAGTTATCCTTATTTTTAAAAGAAAATATAAAACTATCTTTAGTTTGTCCATAAGTACCCCAAGTACTACTATGATCAGTTTTCCATGTTATAGGATTATATCCACCAATAATTTCTTCCGTTCCTTTTATTTTAATAAATACAACAGTAATGGGTTTATGATCACATAATTCATGAAATTTTTTGGGAGTAAATCCATCACGACTCCCTCTTAGTAATAATTTAAATTTACATGGAAAATATAATTCTCGTAAATGAGAAAATTTACCATTAAAATCCACTTTACCAATCCATCTTGAAATTGTTGAAACAATATTTAAATCAACAATTTTTGTATCAATAATCCCATCAAATTTAATATTCCTAGGAAAGGAAATGTCGCAAGATGGCTCAACATCAGGATCCAAGTAAGAATTTGACAAATTTTCATAAAGTTGAGGATTTAATAATTTTTTATATGGTCGAACATTTTGAGAGAATTCTTTAGATGATAAACTAAAGAATCTAATTAAAGGTAAACATCGTTGTAAAGTATTTTCCATCGCTTTGAAATCATCAGTTTTCCAAGTAGCAGGATCTGAAACAAGGGTAGGATTTTGCGCAAGACCCCATCTCAATACATGTTCCCAAACTTTCGCTTCTCTCATTTGTAAATCATCTCTTTTAATGAGTGATATTAAAGATTTTTCAGGAAGTGAAGTAAAATCAAGTGATTCAAATATTTTTTCAGGTGATTTAACCATGAAATCCGTACAAAATTGTTGAATTTCTAATAAATTATTTGATTGAAAACTCGCTTTATGAGTAAATTCAAAATGTTGTTCCATCCATTCGGATTCATTTTCAATTAAATACATTTGTAAATAATCAACTAGTTCTTGAAGGAGAAGCTTATCAGCTGCTATCAAAACTTTAAGAATTACCGAAACGTCTTGCCCATTAAGAGTAAGAACGCCGCCATAAATATATCTATATATCATTAAAAGAAAGAAAGTATGTAAGAAAATACGTATTTAATACTTAAAAATCCATATACTTACTTTAAAATAATTTGAAAGGTTTCCGGAGATATATTAGAAAACTTCAAATGAGCCAAGACATCATCATGATTTTTTTCATTCAAAGTCAAAGTTCGTCGTAAATACGGAGAACGGAAACATAAAATATTCATGTGCGCACGGAATATTTTTACATCAGGATCTTCCCCAACTTCCAAAGTAACATCATAATATTCATCATCTTCCAATAATTCAATGTAATTTTGACTTAACTTTGATAAAAATTGTGAAGACATTAAAAATTTCCAAGAATAAATAAAGGATTTGTAACAGAAATTCTTTTTTTAGGTCGATATTTAGTTGATCAAATCGGGAATTAATAATTAAGGTTAGGTTTAGTTAGATTCTTGCGCAACCACATGCTTTTCATTTTTGTAATACACGTTTAAATTCTAGTCATTTTATGACATAAAATCGATCACTTTTTTTGAAAGCTAAAATCAAAATTAATTATGAATCAAAGTTCAATTATGCTGGATAAGACAAATACATACACGCCAAGAAAAAAAATTATATATACAGTATGCGACGTCATATTTTATTTCAATAATTTGATTTCTAAAGACTAAATGGAATTACCTCATAATCTTCTATAGAAAATTCACCTTCTGTATCCATTAACTTTTTTTCATAACTATATTTTTTACAAAATCATTTGATGAATAAATCAGAAGATCATGTCCAAAACATGGTCCGTGTCTCTTTTGATAATTTAATGCGTCTTTGATAAAATATCCTTATTTTTAAGAGAAAATAAAAAGCTATCTTTAGTTTTACCCATTCATTGGTTGATTTCCATATTAGAGGATTATATCCTCCCGTCCCTTTTACTTTAATGAAGGTAACAGTAGAATGCTTATTATCACATAATTTATGAAATGCTTCGGGAGTAAACCCATCTCGACTCCATCTCAATAATAATTCAAAATTATATGGAAAATATGATTCTTCGGTATTAAGCAGATATAATTTATCGATCCATGTTGAAATTAAGGAAACAATCTTTATATTAATGATTTTTGAATCAACTTTCCCAATTCTAGGGGATAAAATATTATATCCTGTTTCGCTTTCATGATCCAGATGATACACTAATAACTTTTCATAAAGATGACTATTTAAAAGGTTTTTATATAGATGAACTTTTCGTAAAAAGTTTTTAGAGGATAAATTAAAAAATCTGATTAGGTAAATAATGTTGCAAGGTGTTTTCATTGTTTTTAAAATCATCATCGGCCCAAGTTTCGGGGTCTGAAATAAGCGTCGGATTTGTGCTAGACCCACCTTAACAAATGTTCCCAAACTTCAACTTCTTCCATTTGTAAGTCATCTCTTTTAATAATTGTTATTAAAGATTTTTCGGAAAGCAAAGGAAAATTATGCGATTTGAGTACTCTCATATGAAATAATTTTATAAGAGAAGTTTATCAGCAGCCACCAAGACTTTAAGGATGTCTGAAACGTCTAATCCATTTAATGAAAGAATTCCGCCATAAATATTTCTATATTTTGAAGAATGAAATTTGAATTTAATTATTTCTGTTGAAAAAAACTACTCTTTGAATTTTATCACTTACTTTAAAACGATTTGAAAGATTTCCGGTGAAAGATTTGGCAATTTCAAATGCCAATATATTATTATTATTTATTTTATTTGAACCCAAAGCTCGTCGTAAATATGGAGAACGGTAACACAAAATATTCATGTGCGCACGGAACATTTTTACATTAGGGTCTTCACCAACTTCCAAAGTAACATCATAATATTCATCATCATCATCCAATAATTCGAAAAAATTTGTGTAAATTTCTATGAATGAGTAGAGTAAGGTTTGTGTGGGTTTTTTTAGCAGAAAATTTCTTTTAAGTCGATCATAAAATGTACGTAATTAGATATTAACAAGTTCGAAAAATTTATGACGCATCGATATAATGTATAAGGTCCTCGCCAAAGCATTAAAAAAAACCATATGAGTACTTAGTCCAAATAATATAACCAAGAAAGGAAATATTTTCACAAATATTCTTATTGTTGCGAATCAGCACGTGATATCGTCATATTTCATACTATTTATAATCAGGTAGCTAAACAACGTTCAACTTTACAACGCGACTATTTCTCCACAATATGCAAATATGCTAACAGGCAGTGTTGTGCTGGGACATGTCCCAGATGAGCTTGGGACAATTGGGACATAATGTGGGACAGCTTGGGACATAGTGTAGGACAGTCTTAAAATGCTTGGGACATGGAAAATGGACAACACTGTCAACAGGTGGAATACCCGAAGTAGTTTTAAAAAGAAGTTAGATATCGTGGTAAGTATTTATTGTTCTTCACTATATCAACGTTAAATAATCTAACATTTATTCATATGTTAGATTATTGGAAGAAATCTCATACTCAATGGGGAAATACGGATACGTGGGATAGCTACTTTCACGAAATGTACGAGATGCAACAAGACAAATTTCACATAATACTTTGAGTGCTGATTTACAAATTTTGATTCGGGAACTAAAATCTGGAACAAGAGCAAGATGGAAAACATTAGCAATGCAACGTGACCTAGGCAGTATTTTTTGCAAAATTTACGTGTGCTACGCCCTGTACTGCTGGTATGGAGAAGAAGAGCATTCAATCTTATGTACACTACGACATGCACCGCTGTGTGCTACGCCACTCACTGCTGGTGTTGGAAAAGAAGAGTGTCTGGTCTTTACATCACTGCAACGTGCATATTTTTTAAGAGCTGTACCCCACGACTGCTGGTCGAGTTGAGGCCAATTTTTGGCTGAGGTGGAAGCAATTCACAGCCTAGCATGTGCTCACTATGGTTTGTGTTATCTCCTATGACTTAGCATATTCTCTCTCTCTCTCCCTCTTCCTCTCTCTTTCTCTCTCTCTCTCTCTCTCTCTCTCTCCCTTTTCTTTCTTTCTCTCTCTCTTTTTCCCTCTCTTTCTCTCTTTACTAATATTTTTTTGTCTATTAATGTCATATAAAAGAAACTCCCTCTCAAAAAATCCACCTGCTTTCGATGATAACATTGAGGATGAGGATTTATCCACTGAGAAACTAATATTCAATTTACACATTGCATTACCATATAGAAGAGTTCTCAAAGAAATGTGAAATCATCATATAGAAGAAGAATTGTAATGAGCCTGAAATTTGTCTCTTATGCTCAAATGGTCTGTTTTAAATAGAGCTTTTAATTGAATCAAGTAAGATCGATGATTGATTGTTTCAATTAATTTGTCAATTGCAGAATATTGCCATCAATCAAAATTGGACTAACTTTAATTGATTTTTAATTGATTAAATTTTTATGAATGATTGATTAACAATTATTATATTTGATTAATTATGTCATTATAATATAATATGCGTATAAATAAATAATAAACAAAACTATATAGTATCATTATTAAAAAAAATGAAAAAAAATAATTTCTCTTAAAGTTCATTGATATTTGTAAAGGAGAAAAATTTTTATTCTTAAGACATAATAACTGATTTTTTAACATTAAAGCTTTTCAAATAAAATAGTCATAATTGTAGTATTATTCTTTTTTTTTTATCATAAAAATGCATTTCAAAGTATCAGATTTTTTATTTATAATATTTACTCCATTTTAATAGTGGATTAATAATAAAAAGAAATTTCCAACTTTATTTAAAATAGCTAGAAAATATTTGGATATACCAGCCATATTTATTCTAAATAAGTAGCTTTTTAGTGATGTTAGAAATCAAATTACTAAAGAATGGACCAGTTTAAAACTAGAGACTGTTAATGAATTATTGTTTGTAAAATAAAATAGTAAATATTATAATCCTTTTATATAATTGTTTATTTGTAAATTAAAGAGATTTTAATAGTTATTATAATATTTGTAATTGATAAAATTAGCTTATTATAAATTTTTAATGCTTATATTAATATTAATAAATCAATTAATGATCAAACAATTAAAATTTAATATTTAGTTTTATTTTTTGATCAAACAATGCAATTAATTAAGAAATTGATCATATGTAATCAATTAAATAAATTAATTTTTAATCGATTATGTAAGTAAAAAATTTATTAAATCATTGATTATAATTTTTTATCAATTAAATGCCCTAGTTTTGAATTATTTTCTGTTAAGGAATCCAAATTTATCGAAACTAGCTATTAATATGAATTTATTAAAATTTATTCTTTTAGAAACTTAAAATAGAAATCTTTACCACGCAATTATAATTATATATAATTTAATTGCAAAAGTGATTGTAAATAATATTAATTCTGACATACAATAATGGCTAGCAAGATTATTTAAAGTTTATAAGAATGAACACTATATCATCAATGTATAAATATTATTAACAATAATTACTTCTGTTCTTCTCTACTCATTGACTCTTTGCTGATACCCAAGAAGCAAATTATCAGAAATCATATAAAATCACAAAAGTAAATAAAATATTTTCTGACTATTCTTATTAATTTAAAAGAAATTGGTGTGAATTAGAAATACTATCATAAAATTCCAAAAAATGGTAAATGTAGATCATCTAGATCTGATTTACCACTATTATTTTTAATGGTACTAATCAATAGTTTTTATTTTTTATAACTGAATTTAAGAATAATGGTTTGTAATATACAAGAATGCAATAGTTATAGTAGTAGAAATAGCTTTTAAATATAATTAAATACTTACAATTGCATACTATTTATTAAAAGATGAGGTGAATGTGACTCATTTGCATATTAGCTTAATTAATAAGACAACTATCATTTGAGTTCAATAAAGGCAATTTATGATAAAACAAAAAAAACTTTGATTTATACTTATGAGGATAATGATATTACTTTCAAACTTTAAACTAGAAATCAAAAAGCTAATATTGCAAGTATTTTAAGTTAGTGACATCAAATGTATATTAATATAAAGTAAACTAATAATAACTTACATAGTTATTCAAAAACAGTTATCACACTTGCTTTTTTTCAATGATTGTAGAAAGTTCCAATAAATTAGAAAATTGCCTTCTAGAATAGTTATTAATTCAATAATAATACATCCATTCAAATTTTACTTTTATCTTATGAGTCATTTTAGTTTAATAGAAATCTTACATTTAACATATTCTCATGTTTTCACTTGACATACAATTTGTGTTATACATTTGCATGATCGATTCATGTGTATCTAAAGTTTCTCTAGTATATTATGCTCATTTAGCTTGCAATAGAACTAAGTTTTATTTATAGTGTGAAAATTGAATCTGAAAGTGTTAAATTTGTAATAACTTATAAAATTGTAAAGCCTGATTTATAAAAAATTATATAATAAATTGACTATAACATAGTATTATAATTATGTAAATCTTTTTCAAAATATCAAACATTAATTTATTGATGATATTCTATTTAATGAAAAAATTTTCAGAAAATTTTTCATTTATAATATTTTTTTTGTGTTAACACTGAGCATTATATTTATGATAATTTATTAGTAAAATTAATAAATTTCTTTGAAAATGCTTTTTCTATATCAACTCTTCTATATTTTAAATAAATAAGTAATATCATTAATAAAATTATCTATTCAAGAATAAATTATAATATATTTTCTATTTTAATGAAATTATTGTCATTAAATAGTTTAATGTATAAATTTGATAATTATACATTTTTTTGCATTTGGATTCTTAATCAATTAAGTATTATATAAATGTGAATTTCTTTACTTTGATATTCTTAAGTTATTATTTAGAAAATCATAAAGTCTAGTAATACTAAATTATTATGAATATGAATAGTTTATACAATAGCGGTCATAAATATCTGACCGCCTGAGATCGTCCAAAATTATTATATAACTATCCCTTAAATTTTCCAGAAATATAATGTAACACAATACATGATTACCTGTAAATTTATAAGTGTCAATGATACAAAAAAAAATTTAGATGATCA